GTAGGTAGGTAGGTAGTAGTAGGTAGTAGTAGGTAGGTAGTAGTAGTAGTAGTAGGTAGTAGTAGTAGTAGTAGTAGTAGTAGTAGTAGTAGTAGTAGTAGTAGTAGTAGTAGTAGTAGTAGTAGTAGTAGTAGTAGTAGTAGTAGTAGTAGTAGTAGTAGTTAGTAGAGTAGTAGTAGTAGTAGTAGTAGTAGTAGTAGTAGTAGTAGTAGTAGTAGTAGTAGTAGTAGTAGTAGTAGTAGTAGTAGTAGTAGTAGTAGTAGTAGTAGTAGTAGTAGTAGTAGTAGTAGTAGTAGTAGTAGTAGTAGTAGTAGTAGTAGTAGTAGTAGTAGTAGAGCAGTAGTAGTCGTAGCAGTAGTAGTAGTCGCAATAATAATAGCAATCGCAATAATTGTAGTGATGCGCCTGCCACGTCCTGTGACTGTGGCGTGGGAAGAAGCAACACTTAGGGACGACCCCTTGCGCACCCTTTTTTGGCGTCGAGGGAATGCCACGCCTGCCAAGCCACGCGACCCTGGCGTGGATAGAAGCCGCGCTCAAGGACCACCTCCTGCGCACACCGTTTCTGGCGTCGAGGACATGCCACTCCTGCGGCGCCATTGCGACCCTGGCGTGGATAGAAACCGCGCTCACAGACCACGCACAGCGCGCCCTTTCTGGTATCGGGTGTATGCGGCGCCTTCCGCGCCTTGGACGTACCTCTGCTGGGCCTCCCGGGAGCCTACGAAACCGGCGACAATTTCGCAGATCGCAACCCCCAAGGCACCGCGAGGTCTCAAGGTGATCCGCGTTGGACGTACCTCCGCTGGGCCTCCCAGGAGCCCACGAACGCGGCGACAATTTCGCAGATCGCAACCCCCAGGGCACCGCGAGGTCTCGAGGTGATCCGCGTTGGACGTACCTCCGCTGGGCCTCCCAGGAGCCCACGAACGCGGCGACAATTGCGCAGATCGCAACCCCCAAGGCACCGCGAGGTCTCGAGGTGATCCGCGTTCGACGTACCTCCGCTGGGCCTCCCAGGAGCCCACGAACGTGGCGACAATTTCGCAGATCGCAACGCCCAGGGCGCCGCGAGGTCTCGAGGTGATCCACGTTGGACGTACCTCCGCTGGGCCTCCCAGGAGCCCACGAACATGGCGACAATTTCGCAGATCGCAACCCCCAAGGCACCGCGAGGTCACGAGATGATCCGCGTTGGACGTACCTTTGCTGGGCCTCCCAAGAGCCCACGAAATCGGCGACAATTTCGCAGATCTTAACCCCCAGGGCACCGCGAGGTCTCGAGGTGATCCGCGTTGGACGTACCTCCGCTGGGCCTCCCAGGAGCCCACGAACGCGGCGACAATTGCGCAGATCGCAACCCCCAAGGCACCGCGAGGTCTCGAGGTGATCCACGTTGGACATACCTCCGCTGGGCCTCCCAGGAGCCCACGAACGAGGCGACAATTGCGCAAATCGCAGCCCGACGGCACGAGAGAAGAGGAGAGGGGAACACAGGAAACAGGAGAGGAGAAGGGGAGGAGGGGAGAGGAGAGGAAGGAGGACGAGGCAACCACACTGCTCTATTCAAAACGAGTACCCAACCATAGGAGGGTTGGGAAAAACACAAAACGCACTCTGCCTCCACATTTGGAGCATGCGCGGCCAACCAGATGCGCTCCCCCCACCCCACCATCACTGTCAAACAACTACAAAATTCACTTGGGGGCAAAGTCTTGAGTCATGTTCGTGAGGCCCTGCGAGCACTTTGTATTGTTTTTGACAGGGACGGCGAGGGTGTCAGCATATTCCCTGCTGTGCGCAAGGCGGACATCCCTGACACACAAAACCAATACAAATGCACCTCGCGGCTAAATCTGGATCATGCACGGCCTCCCCACGATCACTGCCAAGTGGTTTTTGTCAGGGACGGCGGGGGTGGCAGCGCGTGACCTGCTGTGCGCAGGCTCACCAGGCACAATGATGGGCATTGTTTTCGACAAGGATGGTGGGGCCGACATGTTTCCCGATGTGTGCTGTCACGTGCGCAGCCGCACCTGACGCACTCTGCACGTGCCCCGAACGTGGCGCACCTGGCGCGGCTGGAGTCTGCGGCACACCTGGCGCACTCGGAGCACGTGGCGCATCCACCGCACCAGGCGTGCCTGGCACGTTCGGGCCCCAGGGGTCACTGGCGTGCGTGGCGCGCCTGGCACGCGTGGCGCACCTCGCCCCAGCGTCGCGCACCTGGGGTCGACTTTGGCTCCCAATAGCTGTCCATCCAAAAACGACGCTGAACATGCTCAAGCTCGGTTTTACTTATGTTTTGGAGGGCGGATGGGAGTGAGCTGGACGGCTTGCGGGCGGTTGGGTAGCTTGACCCCTCCCCCTACCCCCTCCGATGGGCCTCGTAAGGGGGGGCCAGGTAGTTAGAGCGTCCAAGATGATCCAACATGGTTCCAAGAGGGCCCTCGGCAGCCCAAGACGGCCTACGAGATGGCTCAACATAACCGAAGACGGCTCAAGATAGCCGCCGACATACCTCCAAGGGGCCACCATCCTTCAAGCACCTTGGACAAACACAGTGCTGTTTGCCTTCTTGCTTTTTCGCTTTCGAAGGTCCTCTGAGGCCTGAGGATTGCCCCAAGATGGCCCAAGGGAGCTCCAAGAGGGGTTTAAGAGGGCCCCAAGATGGCCCCACGAGCGCCCAAGAGACGCCCGATAGCGCCCCAAGAGGTCCCCCAAAAGCACCCAAATTGACCGCACCCGTCTTTTTGAGCCATGGGGGCCCAGACGGCCCCACGAGACCTCCCAGACCCACCCAGTGGGAACCCGAATCGGTGGGCCCGCAAGTCAGGACGCTTCGCCACTGCTTGAAAATCCAGGTCTTCTCCCCGCTCCAGACTTCGGCTCACGATCCGTCGATTCCCACGCCTCACTGCACCGACCTTACAGACGTGCTGCAACGGATTTTTGCGTTCATTTCTGCCCATGCAAAAGCCCGAAACAACGAATGAACAACGACGTGAATTTCGTGTGGATTTTGGTTTAATCTCCATTCCTGGCCAAACAAACATCCGCACGACATTCACCTCGAAATCCGGAACTCAATTCTCCAGGGCACTCCGAACGGAATCCGCTCTGCGATGTTGGCGCCATGACACGCCCCCCCGCGGCGCTCCAAAGGTATGTGGCCAATGCGTCGAGCATGAGGCCGCTCTCGGAAGGCCCAGGGCCGTCCTGTGTCAGAGCAGAGGGCCACGAGCATCATGGCGAGTGGGAGTCTGATGAAGGACAACTGGTATCAGCATGGGGCGAACACCATCAACATATGAAGAACGATACAACCACAATCATAACAAGACGTGCGTACATTCTGGCTACACCGCTTCGAAGCTTTCTGGGAATTTTCGGACGCTCGCCATGTCTCTGCAGAATGCCATGCTTCCCATGGCAAGAAGGCACAAGGAAGAAACGGGTGAGAAGGGTGCGTGCGTGCACGTGGCTCCTGGAGCCCGACTTCAATCAGTCGTTCGCCACCCACCAAAAAGCAATGCAACACATCTACGGCCAATGAACGTCGGACCGGGAGAGCGGATCGAATCGGACTGCATCGGCACAGACTCGAAGTAGCATCGGATCGGCCGCGACAGGATGCACATCCACGCCATGCAAACATCGGTCCGCATCGGGTCCATGTAATATCCAAATCGTATTGGATGGAACTGGGCGGAACCGATGTCGAATCGGTTCGATCGGTTCTGAATCCATGTGGGCAACTCTGTTGTACCTGACATCCCGCTCAATCGCCGATTCCCCCTCGTCGCGACACACTCTTCGATCCGACTTCACACGTGGATCCATCTGGCCCGTGGCTCTCCGCGGAATCGCCGTACCCGCGATAATCCACGATCAGGATGTTGACCTTGCAGGCGCAATCAAGTGTACACTGGTAAATGCTCGGGGGAAGGAGGGAGAGAAGGGAATGAGAAAGGGAGCAGGGAGGCGAGGAGGGAGCGAGGAGGAGGGAGAGAGGAAGAGGGAGAGAGGGGGAGGAACCAGGCAAAGAAACGTGCAAGCAAACTCGTAAACAAAGGGAAGGATTGGCCTGCCCAAACAGGCAAAAGACGCTGTGGATCCGAGTGATCCGAGGCCGCCTCTGATCCTGGTACTCGCTGGAGACACGTTGGGCTGGAATCGATGGCATTTCGCCAAAGGGTCGGTGGTGGGCCCTCATCGTAGCAAAGCCGTACGTTCACAAAGTCAGCAGTGATTCGCCGTAGCCGCTTTTGGTGAAGGACTCTTCGGTCGGGCATGTCCTCCTACAGGGGGATTTGGACGAAAAATTGAACATAGTCAAAAATTACTCCAAAAGTGTGGAGAATTGAAAAAATCGTCCCCAGACTATCTTTGGAAATACTATTTTTGAAAAGTCCTCCTGTAGAGGGACGGGCCCGACTTAAGAATACTCCTATTCAACGCGCCACCGGACGTCTTGGTTTGGAAGCCGATGCGCCGCCCGGGCAGGGCAGAATCAAGCGCGCCTGCGTCCGCTAGGGGGCCGGGCCTGGAAGGCCGGCGCGGGCAGGCAGGGGCCTCCACTCGCAGATGTGGAACTTTTGGTCGATGCTGTGTGTGGCGTAGGACGTCTGTTCCAGATTTATCCACTGAATGCTGTCTGTCCTAATGTGAACCATCGCCCTCTGTTAGGCTGGAGAAAGATGTTTGCTGTCAGAACTTGTGTGATATCATCTTCCCACCGTGTCCTCTGCCCCCCATGTCTGAGGACTGCTTGCAGGTGGTCATCGATGTCTGGCTCCCACGTCGCAGAAAGTCGAGCCTATCCGTTGTACAAATAATTTTCGATTCGCCCTGCTCATCGCCATTTTCGTCGAAAGTACACCGTCGTCCACTCATCTACGCGGCCACTTTTTGCATGATCTTCTGCTGTGTGCGTAGCCCTGCAGATACAAATTCCCGTTGTTCGGGATCGGAGGCAGGTTCGCCACTATCGATTTGCAATTTCTTCGTGCGTCTCTGCGTCGGAGCTGTCGGTAGCGGTGCCATTGCGATCTGCTCGACGTCGTGGGTTTTCCACAATGAGTCGCAACATCTATCGTTGAGTGCGCCCCAGCGTTTGGGACATGTCCTTGGTCATCGTCCATAAACACCAACCGTACATGACAATAAGCGCTATTGGTCCGCTGAAAAGACGAAGTCTCCTGCAAAGGGAACCGTTACTCGCTGGCTGAGGCTGCGCCATCCAGACGCGATTATATTGGTGAGTTCCATGTGGTGGTAATCGTTGTCGTAACCAATGTATTTGGTTGTCTGGTCCACGCTGGGAACATCAATGCAGTCGCCGAAAAGGCTGGTGTGTGTGTGATGGTCCGCCCTTGTCGTCGGGTCGGGCTGGTTAAGATTTGGGTTTTGTCGGAATGTAGCGCAAGCCCGCACTTTTCAGCTTCTCCCACGGAATCCTTTAGACTCACCTTCCTTTGTTGTGAGCTTGGTGAAACAATAGACGCCGTCTGCAGACCGTATGTTGGTAAGTCGTGTCAACCTGGCGTGCCCCAATTTGATCCCTCATTCTCTGCGTTTCTTGGAAGGCTTGGCCTGCCACGAAACGTGCTCGAACACTGCGTGGGACAAGATAAGAGCTGAGTGGGTACCCTTGTTTGAACCCGCATTGTATACTAAACTCCCTGCTGTTGATGTCGGTCTTAACAGTGGAACATGATCATTGTATAGACTCTGCTACACGGAACTGTATGACATCGATTGCGGCGGTCCAGACAGGCACTCATAAGACTGTTTGTGCAAAAAGGCCGCGTTGAAGAGGTGGTCTTCTGTGCAAAAATCAATGCGGAATCCAGCTTGGTTAGGGGATTGTTCAGACTTGAATATCACCTATAGTCGGTTGCAGAATAGTCGTGACATCAAGTTGTATAGTAATCGAATAATGGCTATTGGTATGTTTGTTTTGGGGTAGTTGTGGGTCGCCAGACTTTTAGATGACACTGATTGTGGTGCGTCTCCACTGCTCAGAGGGCTTTTGCCCAAGTGTCACAATGTCGTTGAAGAGCTTGATCAAAAAACAAAACGATAACGTTTCCTCCGGCCTGAAGCCGGGGATCTACTGACCCGGGTCAACCCAGATCCTGCAGGATCCTGCGCCTAAGCTCAGGTCGATGCAACCCTGGCTCTGCAGGATCATGCAAAATCCGGCGCTCTGACTGACCCCCGTTTGCAGTGACCCCTGTCCCTTAGCTCCGATGAAGCAACTCCGCGGTGATACAGGCAATGTATTTGCACTTGCCGCTGTTGAGTTGCACCACTGCGTGGTGCAATTCTTCTTTGGTGAAGTGCGGGGTCCCATGGTTGGCATGATGTTGTGCATGGTCACGCGCCCTGTGCGGCTGAGCGTCTACAGGTTCGTTGGTTTCTGCGCGGCGTGTATACAGCTGTTCGTAGAAATCAGCGACGATGTCTGCGATGTTTTGGCGGTACGTCTCGCTGTCACCGTCTTTCGTGGACGTGCTCGGTATCAAATCTTCGTTTCTTTCTGGATTGAATGCCTGATATATTCTCGATGCTTCAGACATTGCGTATCATATCATTCAACTATGTGTGTCGTTGAGCTCGCTTGATAAGCCGGTACTGTCGCACGCGTTTGCTGAGGGATGTTCTGGCTGTTGCGTCGGAGTGTGGTGTGTTCTTGCGCTGCTTGATGTGAGCTCGCAGGAATCGGGTGGCTTCGTCGTCGTATTCGTCGTGGCCGTATGTCTGCTGGTGTTGGTGTTGCTGTTATCCTCCTGGAACGCTTTATTTTCTGCTGTAACCCTTTGTTCGGTGTGTGTATGTGTCGCTTGGGTCGTGCGGTGGACCATCGCTGGACAAATCATGTCGCAACTGGTGCTGGAAATCCGAGTCGCCATGTCGAGGTGGGCGCTGGCATGCTTGCTTTGCGTCTTCGTCTCTTCCGTCGCGGTGGTCGGCGTTTTTGCTGCCCACCACAGGTCGGAAAAGAACGGCTTGGTGATCAGATCCGAGGTCGGGGCTTGACGGTGCAAACGCGTCAAGCATTAGATGCTGGGCCTATTGATCCACACAAGGATGTCATCGATGAAGATTTGCGTGTGTGCTTCGAGCCCGAATGCGTTTACGTAAAAACGTTCTGAATGTGGTTGCGGAACATCGTGCTTGTGATGATGAACTTGCGCATGCACGCCCATGATCGTAGCCTGGCACCTCGTTGATTACACCCGCCCTGACCGTGGTTGTCGATAGGTCGCGTTCTCTGTGTCGTGGTTGATGTTATCGTCGTTGGTGTCACTCCGTCTTCCCGCTTACACATTGAAACCATCTATAAGTATGAACGTTCAATTCTTCCTCGCGGCACAAGCGTGGATTACGGAGATCATATCGTAAATGCTTCGCGCCGCCTGGGGAGTTGGGAATAATGGTCAAACGCCGACCTAAGAAATCCGCGTGAACCGCGCACATTTCATGTTCATGCCATTATTTGGTCCTCGAGAAACGGCGGAAGGATGGAGGGAAAGAAACACTACTCCTCCACTCACCCCTCATTCCGTCTCTCCCCTTCCCCTCCTCCTCCTCCACCTCCTTCGTCCCCTCTCCTTCCTTCTCTGCATCCACCTCCTCTTCCCTCTTTTCCTCTTACTGCGTATCCTGTCCCTCTCCTCCTTGTCCTGATCCCCCCTCTATTCCCCATCATCTTCCTATTCTTCATTTCCTGGTCCTCCTCCTTCCACCTCTCGTTTTCCTCTCCTCCCCCGTGCTCCTCATCCCTTTCGCCTCTACTTCCTTCACCCGTCCATATTTCCTAGTCTCCCCCTTCGTCTTCGCCCAATGTTTCCTCACATCCTGATTATGATCGTGCACATGCGAAACGTGCGCCCGTCATGCGTGTACGGAAGCACGTACAGAATCAACACATGAAGGCTCAAACCCTGGCCGTACATGCAAGCCGCAACAGTAACCTCAGCAGATGTTAGCCACCGTGGACCCCAAATAGCAGGCCCTTGCATTCCCGATGTATGTGCAATCTATGAGGTGCAACTACGTTGAGAACATTGCTCAACTCAAATGCTCGAGGAAAGATCCCGCTGGTCCTCCGAAACGAGGTCTTCGCAGAGCCTCGCTGTCTTCTGTCCAGACGCATGCTGACTTCCCGAATCGACTCATGCAAGAACTGGGGGTGGCTGAGGCCTGTGTTACGTGTGTCGGAATGCTCTCCTCGTGAGCCCAGACTTAGGTCGGGCATGCCCCCCATATACAGGCGGCTTCGGGGCGAAAGTTAAAACAGAGTCAACACATGTACTCAAACACAGCCAAGACATCATCGCCAAATCGTCCCTAGACTATTCTTTGATTATCTCTGGATATTCCTCCTGTAGAGGGGCACGCCCGACTTAAAAGCCAAGACGGTGCTCCGCCGGTAAAATCGTCGTGGGTGGCGGCGTCCTCTCCGGGATTTTCCGCGGCCTGCATCTCGACGAGACGCCGCGAAGCGCGCGGCCGGAGGCCCGCCAGTGCTCGATGGCCGGTAATACATCCGACCGCTGCTCCAAAGCCAACACCCTGACTTTTACCCTGGTCCTCCTCCTCCTCCTCCTCCTCCTCCTCCCTGCCTCCCGCCCTCGGTCTCTGGGCGACCATGCGGCGGAGAAAGCGGGGGGGCGGCGCGGGTCGCGGTGGCCCCCAGCCGCTACTCCAAAGCGAACGAACGCCCTGACTTCCCGATCCAGCTGCTCGGGACAGTGATGACTCGAATACATGTCAGGCCGTGCGCGAGAAGTGGCGCACCGAACCTATCTGCTTCTAGTCAGGAAGAGGGGTCCATGTAAGATAAGCGGGGGCACGCGCGCGAGGGCGCTGCCCCGCACAACCCCCAAATAGTCCCAACGAATCGCCACGCAGCGGCTTCACGGGAACCGGGTCACCTCCAACGCGCCGAACGAACGCCTCCGCAAAACAGCCGCCTCTCCAGCAGCTCCGCACTGAAGCCGTACAGTCGGCCAACCGTCAGTGGTGAGACAACCTGCGCTTGCGAAATGAGCGAAACGGTGAATTCGGCAGGCCTCCTGCGGGCCCTCGCCGTTGTAGGGCTCGAGGATAGGTGATGAAATGGAGATGAGATGGAGGTGGGTGATGAGCATGCGAAAATCCATGCTACGGGGGGCTTCGCACGTTCCGCCGTCCCAAAAAAGCCCGAAGAGGGCCAAAGAGGGCAGCCGCACCTTAATTCTCCGACTGGCACGTGGAAATATATGTGATCTGCGCGCACGTGAGAACACGAGTGAGACGTGCTCAGATGGCCTCAAATGGCAACTTCGCTCTGCACATCCTCGACAACTCGGCTTCGGCGGGGACTCTGAATCTCAAAAATTGCAGTTCTGCTTGGGACTGCCTCGACAAATTAAACTCGGAAGGGACTCCGAGTCTTAATAATGACTGTTTCGCTCGAGACATCCTCGACAATTTGCCTCGGAAGGCGCTTTGAACATTGACCTCCCACGAGACGCCAACGTGGCCCCAACGATTAGTACGGACCATCGTCGAGGCAATCTCCCTGACACCCGCTGGTTGCAAACTCTGCGTGCAAACTTCCCCCCGGGGGCCCGCCGTGACTCCCGCTCTGCAGGCTCAATTCGGCGGGCCCCCTGCGGGCCCTCGCCAGCTGAGGGCTCGAGTACAGAAGACGAGGTGGAGGATGTGGCGGAGAAGAGGGGGAAGCATGCGTAGAGGCATGCTGCAAGGGGGGCTGTGCGCATTCCGCTGGCCCCAGGAGGCCCCACGAGGGCAGACGCATCTTGAATCTCCTGTTGGCACGTGGAAGTATGTGATCTGCGCTCTCAAGTTCCTCGTGCGAGTGTTTGCGTACATAAATATAATTCGAGCGACACGTGCTCAATTGGCCGCAAATGGCCGTCTCGCTCGGGATATCCTAAACAAATCTGCTTTGGAGGGCACTCTGAATCTCAAAACTGCCATTTCGCTCGGGACATCCTCGACAACTCAGCATCGAAGAGGACTCTGAATTTCAGAAATGGCTACTTCGCTAGGTTGATAAACTAGCCTCGGAGGGGACTACGAGTCTCGGAGGGCGCTTTGAACATTAACCTCCCACGGGACGCCAACGTGGCCCCAACGATTGGTACCGACCCTCGTCGAGCCAATATCCCTAACACCCACTGGTTGCAAACACTGCGTGCAAACTTCCCCCTGCGGGCCCGCCGTGACTCCCGCTCTGCGGGTTCAATAACTGGGGCCCCTTCTGGGCCCTCGCCGTGTTAGGGCTCGAGGATCGATGAGAATGCTAAGAGCGGCTGTGCGCATTCCGCCGGCCCCAGAGGCCCCACGAGGGCAGAGGCAACTTGAGTCTCCTTTCAACGCGTGAAAATACGTGCGACCTCATGGCCCCAACGATTGGTACCGACACTCGTCGGGGAAATGTACCTAACACCGACTGGTTGCAAAATCTGCGTGCAAGCTTCCCACTGGGGGCCCGCCGTGTGTCCCGCTCTGCCGCCTCCATTCTTTGGCGCCCTGCGGGCCCTGGCCGTATTGCAACCTCGGAGGGTGGATGATGAGATGGGGGATGGTGGAGGATGGGGGCGAAGCATGCAGCAGGCATGCTAAGAGGGACTTCGCGCATTCCGCGGGCCCGAAGAGGCCAATGCGTTGTAATTCTCCCGGGGCACGTAAAAGTATCAGTAAAATGCGCCTCCAAGGTTAGGCCCATGTGCGTGACAGGTTCTTCGACACCTGAAAACACGAGTGGTCTGCGCCCCCAAGGCTACGAAAATCTCGACTCGGCACGCCCCTCACGCATCTCCTTCCTCATACTTCCCTGGGGACCGTGAACATATGTTTGATATGGGCCTTTTCGATTCGGGATATCCCTCACGTATTTCCTGCCCCATACTCCCTCGGGCCACGTGAACATACATGTGATGTGCGCCCCCAAGGTAATGAAAGCTTCGAATCGGCACACCCCTCACACATGTCCTGCCTCATACTGTCCTGGGACACGTGAAAATACAAATGATCCGCGCTCCGAGACCATTCGACCCCCCCACGGGACGTCAACATGGCCCCCGAAGACATTGCAACGATTGGTACCGACCCTTGTCGAGCCAATATCCCTAACACCCACTGGTTGCAAACACTGCGTGCAAACTTCCCCCTGCAGGCCCGCACACGGGGCGGCCGCACGCCTTCCAGACACACGGATGAAGATGATCAAAGGATATCTGCCGACCCCCGCTTGCCGGGGTCAACGCACCCCGAGGGCCTCTGGGACCTCCAAATCTACACTCTGTGGCCTCCAAGATGCCCCGGGTTCCATCTAAGCTGGCTCAAGCTAGACTCCAATACGCCGAGAAGTCCTCAAAGACGACCAAGATGGCCTCAAGACTGCCCAAGAGGCCTCAAAGACGCCCCAAGAGGGCTCCAAGACGACCCCCAAGAGGGCCCCAAGAAACAAAACTCGTCCAAGTTGGAACACCTTGTATTCATGACATATTGTCCTATGTGGTCTTAACAGCGTCCAAGACGGCTCAAAGGGCTCCCAAGATCGCTCCAAGACGGCCCAAGAAGCCCCCAAGAGGGCCCCACGACGGCCGAACAGGGCTCCAAGACGGCCCAAGAGGCGCCCAAGATGGTCCAAGAGGGCCCCAGCGGGCCCCCCAAATGGGCCCAATAGAGATAATTCCAACTTGTATTCCGAGCCCTCCGCCCCAACAGGACCCCCGAGACCGCCAGCACGCGCCCAAGAAACTCCCAAAGGCCCGAAGAGGCCCCCAAGAGGCCCCCAGAGGGTCCCCAAGAAGCTCCAAGCGGTCTCGCCGATGGACTTCCCTCTTCTGGGGGTCGGCGGACTGACGTAAACTTTTTGATGAAATCAGTGCGCGTCCCAAATTGACTTATGTCGTTCATGAACCACTTATCGATCATGGGTCGCGCGGGCCCCAGCCGTCAGCTAGCCTTGAGCTTCTCGTGCATGTCGGCAACATTCTGGCAAGCGGACACATGCATACAACAACCAACGTGGTAACATTGAGACGCCTACAACAACCGCGATCTTGCATACATTTAGCGCAACTTCAACCGTCAATGCGTAGCGCTACAATTCATGACATATGCTGGTGCTAATATCCCCGGCGCGGGTCACACAAGCATGATCAGATCGCTGCCAAGATGGTCCCCTTCTGTCAACGTCAGGAGTCACCACCCGAGCAACTGTGCGCGTGTAGATCGATACACAGGCAGACAGACAGACAGACAGCCAGGCAGACAGACAGACAGGCAGACAGATAGAGATCGAGATAGAGAGAGAAGGAGAGATCCCGCGAAGTCCATGCCTCGTGCATTCAACTCTTCCGGCTGCCCTGTTACACACCTAATACCGCTGCCCTGCTGGATCCATGAACAAATTAATCATGAAGCACCTCTAAGCGGTGCCCGATGTTGCCTGCGTTGCCGTGGAAGTACACCTTCAATCAACTATGTTAGGTTTCAAGCCCTCCATGTCTGCAGCGAGCAAAGCGGACTGACTACTGTTGTGCAGCGCTGAATGGTCATAATGCCCACGTTGGTCTTCCCAAGAACGTACATACGGAGAAACAGCGCGTCCTACACTGTTCTACGGGAGAACCTCGCATGGGCATGAAAAGGCGTTCTGTACATGGCACCAAGCGCTGCCACATTTTCATCATTTCCATCATTTTGTCTGCATGCAGTTCCACCTTCATTTCGCCGCACCCCTCACACGTTTATTGGCCCCATAGGGAGCTCCACCGAAGGCCCCAATGGCAAGGTCCGCATGCAGTTCCACCTTTATTTCGCCGCACCCCTCACACGTTTCGCGGCCCCATAGGATGCTCCGCCGAAGGCCCTAGCGGCAGGGTCCGCATGCAGTTCCATCTTTATTTCGCCGCACCCCTCACACGTTTCTTGGCCCAGACATACGCGGCCTTCCTCGGCTGACTTGCGAGGATGGAACGAGCCTTTACTAATTCCCCCTGCCAATTCCTCTTGCTAACTTTAGGTCGGGCATGTCCCCCTACAGGCTGTTTTTGGACGACAAATCACAAATACCTTCAACATACCCCACAGTAGCCAAAACAATTATGAAAACTAGTCCCCAGACAATCTCTTTACTATACCCTCCTGTAGAGGGACAGGCCCGACTTCACGCTAACTCTCCCTGCTAATTTCCGTGCAGCGACCACAGAGCGGACCTGCGCCCTGGGACGAGGTAAGACCGTTCGGGAACCCCCTCCTTCGAGTGGGAGCATCGCCCCAACACGTCCCATCTTCCTCCCTCCCTCCCTCCCTTGTCCCTCCTCCTCCCTCCCTCCTCCCTCTTCCTCCTCCCCTCGCTCGTCCCATCGCACTCCCTCCCTCCCTGAGATGGATCGGGGGGGACTGGCCCGGGGGGGTGGGGTGGAAACATCGAGCTTAAACCTGCGATGCGTCGCCGAAAGATTGCCGACAGGCCCCCGACAGCGAAGCCGCACGTTCCTGGGTGGGAGTGGCTATCGGGACCCACTGGCGATGAATGGGCGATTCGGGGTCCCTGAACCTACCCCCCCCAACTTTGCCTCCTGGTTTTTGGGGTCAGAACTTGGCGCTCTGGCGGCCGTTCGAGACGATCAAGGCACCCCCAAAACGCTCTTGACGAACCGCAGCTGCTGGAAGGTACCCACACGCAAAACAATCGAGAAACCACGAACGGGTCAGAGAACCTCGAACCTCTCGTCAACAGAGAGAGAGAGAGAGGGAGAGAGAGAAAGAGAAAGAGAGAGACAGAGAGAGAACTGCGCTTCATGGCGCTGGAGGCGGGTGATGCCTATCTCTGTGCTGCTTCTCTCCTGGCCCTCGTCCTTGTCGTGCATGCGTCTCAACCTTTTTGTTCTCAATTAAACCGAACCGGAGGAAGAGGACGATGAGGGGAAAGGAAGGAGGAGGAGGAGGAGCAGGAAGGTGAGGGGTATGATAGGACGGATGCCGATGGGCTTGGATTATGATGGTGGTGGTGGTGGTGGCGAGAATGACAAAAAGAGGGAGGAGTAGGAGGAAGAAGAGGAGGAGAAGGAGGAGGGGGCGTTCCCTTCCCCCCCCCTGGAGCCTGCCCGCCCGCTAATGCTGGCCCCTGAACCAACCCGATCTAAAGCGTTCCCGTGCGCGCCGGCCTCCAGCTCCCCCCCCCGACACATTGCACGCGGTTGCGCGCCCGCACGCGCGCGCGTGGGGCAGCGAGGGAGGGATGAGGCGGAACGGGCAGAGACGAGGGAATAACCTGAAGAAGGTAACAAACAACTCACAAGTCAGGCTTTGACGACGGATATGCCAGCGCCGATACTGAATTCAAACTCCCAGGAGTGGTGCCCTCAGGCAACGGCGGGAGGATGAGGGAGCATGGAAGACGAGTGAGGAAGGGAAGGGCCGGGAAGGGGTAGCGAAAGGGAGAAAAAGAGGGCGCGGAGCTTGATCCACCTCGGAAGACTGCCTCGCAGGACCTGTCTGAAAGAACGCGCTGTCTACACAGGTAGCGCAGCCCAAGTGAAGCGACGCGCTTAGACAACGAACTGATTTCGCGATTAATTTCGAAAACGGATGCGCGCGAAATTCGCCAGCCCAACGGGCCAGGGGCGTGCTAAAATCTCAGGTGACAAACTAATTCGTGCGCGCGTGGCGGCCCCTGGAGACCCCGGACGAAAAGTACCCCGGGCGATGCCCGGGCTATGCCCAGCCGATGCCCGGCCGACTCCCCCGGGGCACTCCAGGAGAGCGCCAAACGGGCGCAGGGACGCCCCTACACGGCCTAAGAGGCCCCGAGTCGCCGAAAGATCGTTCCAAGACGCTCAAGATGGTCTCCAAATGGCCCCAGAGGCCGCGAAAGAGCTCCAGGAGAGCCTCAAGAGGCTCTCCAAGAGGGCCCCAACCAGCAAAAATCGCCCCATTCCCGTCGGAAAACGTATATGTTTCGCATGTGCGACGTTTCTCGTCTTTCGGCTTTCCAAGACGGCCCACGAGGCCCCCAAGACTTCCGCAAAACGGCCCGACAAGCCTCCAAGAGGGCCCCAAGACGGCCCAATATGGCCCCAAGATAACCCAAGAGGCGCCCAAGATAGCCCCAAAAAACTCCAAGACGGCCCCAAGAGAAGCCCAAAACGGGCGCCGGGAACGGAACAATCCAGCCTTCAGCCCCAAGTGTCCATGAAAATGAAGACTATCGCTGTATATATATATATATATATATATATATATATATATGATTCCACGCTGCAAGCTCCGCGTAGTCGAGAGATACGTATGAAGCCAAGGTGCCTCGAAACTCAATTTGCCGAAATCAGGGACCCCCCCGGAATCTCCTGGAACACATATGAAAACTTGTTATCGCTCATAGCTCAAGGGAGATCCCCTGATGCAGTCTGGAAGCGGCGATGGCACACAACATGCCAAGGAATGTTGTGAAACAGCCCTCTGAACCCATTAATTAAAGGTAAACAGCGCACATCTGCTGATATACGGCATTTCTAGCTGAGCCAAGAGCAAACCCATCTTCACGCGGAGTATAGCATCTTCAGCTCAAGAAGCTGGAGACCAGCAGCATGTAGGAAACGCGTCAAACGGTAAGAGGCTACACTCTGCATAGTCCAACTGAAAGCCATACAATATGCGCAGACACAAAAAACTTGCCACATGCTGCGCAAATGAACGGAACGAGTTTCAGCCATACTTGTTATAAGAAAGCGTGATCCTGGCCACTAGGTCTGCCTTGATGCCAGTCGCTGGAAGCGTGGGGTCCCTCAGAATGCTCTGGGGGGCATGGCTCGGCGTTGCCATGGGTTTCCTCTTCATGTCTGAAGGCGCCTGTGTGGCTAGATCGTTGGGTGCCATCTTGTGTATTGCCGATGGTTCCACAACTCGGCGGAACGTCGGAGGCTCGGTCGCTGGTGGCTCCATGATGCCGCAATCGAGTGAGTGAGTGCTACATGCGTTGACTGCGCGCCCGGGGCACTCGGCTGAAACCGCCGCTCGCTCGCATTCGATCCCTTGGCCAAGCGCTGGATCAGAAGCAAACGATCATACAGCCAACATAAGATCACCAACTGTGGATACAACTGCAAACGGTCCTGCCGGTGAAAGCACAAACTGAAACAATTGATCGACGGGCTCTGCCAGCATCGCTGAAACTTGTTGATGTGCCGCTGGGTCACGCGCTGCACCCGCTGCGGTAGCTGCTTCAAATAATGGAACAACAGATGCCGATAAACAACGATTTGCCAACGCGCTTGAAAACACTGCTGCGCGTAGCGCGCGCGATGATGTAAAGCCGCATGGTGAACTCACTTCAGCCTGGTAGAAAATCTCATGTACACCAACGCGGGCAATGCCGTCGATGGCCCTATAATCGGTCGGTCGCGCGTAGTTGGCGTCGAGAGCGTCTGCGTTCATTTGTCTCTACCCGCTCAGCGCGATACTTGGTCGTTCCATGGGTCGGTCTGTGTACGTCTCCTGAGTGATGGTGCTCGGGGGTCTAGTCTTAGCGTCCATGGGTACTCGTGGAAAACTCGATCCTGTTCAAGCGCGCCCGTCTTCTCGATGAGCCCGCCGGAAAATTGTTGCTCAGATCGCGCCCGCTTGATGCCTCCACGTCGGCACTCCTGGCCGATGGTCGCAGCCTCGAGGGGGAGCACCCGATCCGACGAGTGAACGCGCTCCTTGACCACGCAATCCCAAAGAGAGCGGCGATCGGTACCCGAGGCACCTTTCCTCCCTCCAGCTGCTCGACGGCGCTGGTCGCCAAGCCTGTTGGAAGAAGAGCCGTCGGCGCGCGCGGCGCGAGCGAGAACGTCGCATCCTGAGCTTCCGAACAACTGTAGGCCTCCGCTGATAAGGTGCCTCGCACTGCGCGTCCGACGCGCTCACTCGGCCACGAGAGTAGCATGCGCGGATAGAGGTTGGCATGGTCTTCCGTCACGTTGCCATCTCCCGCCATGCTGTAGAAACCACGCCGACTCTTGTGCTTAGGCGCGTTGTCGAAAGAGGCGTCGAGCGAGGCGATGATAACGGACTTATCACACTCAAAACAGCCGCGGAATATTGCCGCAGCCTTCCCTTCGCGGTGGGTCGAGCGCGAAAGACTGTTCATATCCTTCGCGACCTGCGCCGCTGGGTGGATCATCTTGCCTGCCAGCCGTGATGCCTCCAAGCTGCATCGCGAACTGAGCAGTCCATTGAACTTGTCCATTCGTACGTCTGAGCGCTCGATATTGGGCGGCGGTCCCCTTCTCCTTCTACTGCATGGCCCTCTCCGGGGCATGCGGTAGTCAATCGTGCCTCTATGTGCCCGTTCATGTCGACCGAAATGACGTAGTCCTGATCCTGCTTGACGTGTCGGCTGGTAGACGGTCGCTCCAGCTGGCGTCTGCTGTAGCTCGTGCTAGTCTCCGAACCCAACCTGCCCCCGCATCTGCCATGGTGA